GGGGGGGGGGGGGGAGAGAGACCCCTCTTTCGTGAGACCCTTTAAAATTTCCCAATGCAAACCGAGCCCATAAAATTCTTCCATAGCATGAATAATGGTAGATAAAGCTGATAAAAAAAACTAGTCAGTTTCACATTAGTTTAAGCCTAATCCACATGTTAGCTTAATGGAAAACAATGCCATGTTAGGCACCAGATATTAATATGTGCAAGAGAATGCCTAATTTTTTTTCAAATCTTAACTCTGGAATTCTGTCTTGGCTTTCAAGGCGGTCCTTGATTTAACATCCATTTGTTTCGCAACCAAAGTTACATTGAAAAAAAACCCAATTAAAACTGGTCCCTGCACTTCACCATCACAGCATTCCCACAATCATGTCATCAAAAATTTGGGTGCTTGGCAATTGTCATGTTAATTTAGGACAGCACCATCCTGGTCTTATGGAGATCCCCACTTGTGATCTTCCCAACTGCCTTCCAGGTTCACTTTAACGTCCACATGATTGGCTTAAACTGCAGAGACTCACTTAACAACCGTGGCAATGGAAAGAGAACGATTTTGAAATTGGGCACAACTCAGTTGCCTTGTTTAGCAACAAGAGATTCTGATTTCAATTGTGGTCGCACGTGCCTGTTAACTTCTTATTTGCTGAGATTAGACTGAGATTAAAAAGGAAAGCCAAATTCAAATTTAGTTGGCTTCCAGATCAGAAATACATGTTTTTAACAGCACGCCCATTCCTGGACTGGCATAATTTTTCCAGGAAGCGAATACGTTAAACATTAGCCCATTTCCCTCCTCCTACAAGATCTATCCAAAAACATCACCTGAAAACCACCATTAGGAGAGCAATTCGTTTGGAAGAATCCTCTAAATCAGCTTGATCTGGATTTGTTCCTTGGACAGTCACACCAAACTTTCCATCAGCTCTATAGATTTGTTTCTCCCAAAAAAATCTTTTAATACAGAGCATAAAAGGACTTTTCTGGTTTGTGCTTTGACACGAGCCGAAGACCGTGGCTTTTTAAATTGTCTATCATTAATTGCACATTCAGCAGTGTTAAAAAGAACTGTAAACAAAAGCAGATGTTATTGCACAGATACCCAAGAATAAAGAGTTCCGTCAAGTGGAAAGCATCTAAAACGCTCGTTTCTTTCAAGACTAAAGAAAACCAAGAGATTTCTGATCATCAGCAGAAACGTAATCATCATCAAGTCCGTATCCAAAATAGGCAAAGTCTTGGAAGTTAATTTTCACCCAACATTCCTGATTTACTTACACATTTACAAGTCCCTCATAATCCCTGCCGTCAGGGGTCACCATGCCACAAGGAATTGGTTTGACGACACGAAATGTGCTTAGAAAAAACATGTAGATGTATCTAAAGGATCTTCAGGAGCACATCAACCATCGCTTTCCATCCGTTGGGTTCTTCTCCATCACCACAGTCCCTGGGCAGGTGTGACCTATTAAAACCTCCGTGAAATCATACCTTTCAACACAAATCATACTCCGTCCATTACAAGCAGTCCAGACGATGTTACCCCGAAATCCTTAAGGTGGTCGGACCTCCACAAACATCTGAAGATCTTTCTCTGGTTTCTGCTTTTAGACCCAACGCAGCTGAACTGCTAAAGGCTGTCCTTGTGAACACCTGGGACACGGTCAGGTTGTGCTTGTCCATCTCTGCCAGGATACAACATTCAGAAAGCTTCGCCTTGGGATCGACACGAAACGCAAGATGTATCCGTTTGGACCAAGCTGTGGAGAGCTCGGAGGACTATATCTGGCCAATGATCGGTGAGCATCTTGGGGCTGATTAAAATACTACCAAAGGCAGTTTCTCGCGACCAGCTGGCTGAATACTTGACTTCAGAAGAGAACCAACTGCAAGAGAAGAGAATGTCGAAGCTGGATTGGAAGTCTATGATTCTGTGCCTTATTTACATACTTTTAGTTCCCTCGCAGGTATAATCAGTAAGTCATCCTGTCCTAGATATTATTAATACTTGGGGCCAATGGACAATTTTGTTGGAGGGAGCAGGGGAGGAGCCCAGAACAGGCTGAACAAGCAACAGATCCAAAACACCTCTGCATATTCAAAAGGATAAAGGTAACGGTTCCCCTCGCACATATGTGCTAGTCGTTCCCGACTCTAGGGGGCGGTGCTCATCTCCGTTTCTAAGCCGAAGAGCCAGCGCTGTCCGAAGATGTCTCTGTGGTCATGTGGCCGGCATGACTCAACGCCGAAAGCGCAC